TCATCCGACTAGAGCGAGCCTCAAGATGGAGAGGATTCATTTTGCAAAGGTAGATACCTATCTGGAAATAATTGGTTCATTCATTTAAGAAACAGAAGATAACAAACAAAGCCTATAGAAGATCCATCTTTCCTGTCTCAAAACAAGCAAATAATCTCTTCTGGCCCAGGCTAGCAGGGCTCTGGATTGCAGAGGCACTTTTCTGGAGCAATTTTTCTGGAGATCATGGCTCTGCTATACAACTTGGTGATTAACCAATAAATGAGACATCTCTCTTACGTAATTTTTCTTTGAAGATATACATCTCACATTTTATTCAATGCTTTTAGGCTTAAAATATTTATTGAAAATGATTATGTTTCAATACAGTTTACATGTCATTTCTGAGAGTTGGCATCCTCTTAAAATTACAATATGTTGGTAATGATTTTATGGTAGACAAATGAAACTTATCACACCAAACTTATCAGTATACTTATAATATAAAAGCTTCAGTGTTTCAGTAAAACATTGCAATGAATCCAATAAAAAAGGAACTTTAATAGTTTTTCTTTTTTCAGCATACATAAACATCTAGTCCATTTAACTACTGCCTCCTAAAACTGTTGCTTATTTTGTTTCAGCTTTAAGTCTTAAATATAGTTAAAGAATTATCTGGCTTGGAATGTTCGTTAACTTAACAGCAGGAGTCAAGTTAATCTCCTTCACACCCAGTGTTCCACTTACTTTACTCAGTGTTTAAGATATTAAAAAAGGTCTCTTGGAGGGAGTGATGTTGATCTAGAACTCGGGGTCTCTCGGGGGCATGAACCATGGGGATGTGGTTCAGAGCTCGGACTGAGAATGAGGTTAGCACGTTATGCTGAATCAAAAGGCGAATCTGTTCTGGAAGGTGACCTTGAGAAAGACTTTTTTTTTTTTTAAATCCTGGGATACAGATACACACGATAAAGGCCTGCTGAACTCTTTGTAAATACCTTGTAAGGCAGGCAAAATACTGCACTGTAACTCCTGCAGCAGAAAGCCAGGAGAGGGCTTATGTGACCTTTTGAGAATATGCTGTTCTCCCCAGAAAGCCTTAAGTAATTAAAAGGGAGTTAGCACTTCTCACAGGGGGGATCCTATTACTCTGAATAGTGCAAAGCTTTTATCACTTACTATGTTCTCTTGTTCTGGACAAGGGAAGGGAAGACCCAGTGAGGAAAAGTTGAACAAGGAACAGAAATCTGAGAAGGAAAAACAAAAATAGAGTGGAGAATAAAGGGAAGAAGAAAGAAGAGCAGGCTTTGGGAGGCCCTGCAGCACTTACTGGCAATGCCTGTGCTCAAGGGCCTCATAGAGGACAGATCCCTATTTCAGTCTGTTCCCATTACAGAAGTAGATCCTAGTTTTACCCTGAGGAAGGATACAGAAACTGGAATTGACACACTTCTCCTCATGTCATATTCTTTCTTATGAATCTACAGTGACTTCTGTACTTTAGTTGCTGTTTAGGATACTCTGATGTCCAGCTCTGCCTTCATCCTTCCCAAGTGAGCTCCAGCTGTTGTTAGGTGCCATAGAGTGGATTTGTTCTCATAGTGACCCCATGTGATAGCCTAGAACTGTCCCCTAGGGCTTCTCAGACTGTAATCTTTATGGAAGCAGATCACCAGATCTTTCTCCCTTGGAGCTGCTGGGTGGGTTCAAACCTCAAACCAACAACCTTTTGCTTAGGAGCTGAGTGTTAACCATTGTGCCACATGGCCTCCAGCTACCCGTGCACTATCTACTCCAGTCAGGCTGCTCTCCTAGCTTTGAGCCCCACACCTCCCTTGCCTAACACTCGTGTTTCCCCCTCCTCCCCTTTCACCTATCTAAAACATCTCCAACCTCTTAGGTCCAGATCTACTTTATTTCATAATAATAACTTGCATTGCATAAAGCTTTATACCAAGCGCTTAAGCACGGACCATCACACCTGAGCCACTGTCTCCTGAGACATTTCCTTGACGACTTTGCCTGATCCACCTCTCTAATCTCTTGTCTCCTGGAGTAATTATTCACTAATTGCATAGCTTCCACCTCTAGGGGTGGAAGGAGGCTGTAATCTATATGCTCAACAAGCTCCCTAGAGAAGTTGGGGGTTAGGGTGACCTGAGGAGGCAGAATTTTAACTTTTGCTGTTTACCTTATATTTCCATACTGTTTGATACATTTTTACCATGATCATGTATAAATTTCATAATAGAAATTAGTAAATATATACTTTTTTAAAACTTCCCAGGTGATTCTGATGGTGTGGGACTCATAGGTCCTTATCAGTCATGTGAACAATGAGTCAGTCACACACTTTCTTTCATTTCTCTCTCCAGTCAGATAGAAAGGTACTTAGAAGCAATAACTGGTCCTGTACTTTTACTATCTCTCCAGTGATAGCAACGCCAGGTTCAAAGCAGGTGCTCAGTAAACAAACTTGAGTGGATTTGAGTAGACTCTCAAGAAGGTAAAAAAAAACAATAAGGACACATATGGCACAGTACATTTGAAGAAAAAGAAAAACTTTTAATTAGTGAATTAAAGAAGTATGTGTTTATAAGACCAGGAAAAAAAAAAAACTTCAAAGGACTTAATGGACCACAAGATGACCGTAAATTGGCAGTAGCATTTGGCTTTAGATCTAGAAGCAAAGAATCTTTGAAGGCCTCAATAAACTTGTAACATGTAGAAACCACAAGGCAGTTGGTTTTTTTTAATCTAAGTCAATCTTGGAATAGTGTGTTTAATTATAAATTCTACAGCTGAGAAAAGAAATCTGAGTAGTTAGAGTTACAAAAAGAATCAAAACTCTCATATATTGCTGGTGGGAATGTAAAATGGTACAGTTGCTTTAAAAAATCGTTGGACAATTCCTCAAAAAGTTAAACATAGCGTTATCATGTGATCCAGCAATTCCACTCCTAGGTATATACCCAAGAGAAAAACTTTGAAAACACATGTCCATATGAAAACTTATACACAAATATTCATAGCAACATTATTCATAATAGCCAATGGATAAACAAAATGTGGCATGTCCAAACAATAGAATATGATTTGGCCATAAAAAGGAATGAAATGCTGATACATTCTATGACATGGATGAACCTTGAAAACACCATGCCAAGTAAAAGAAGCCAGACACAAAAGGATATATGTTGTATGATTCCATTGATGTGAAATGTCCAGAATCGGCAAATCCATACAGGACAGAAAGTAGATTAGAGATGGCCAGAGGTCGGGGGGAGAGGGAAATGGGAAATGACTGCTAATGGGTAAAGTGTGTCATTTTGGGGTGATGAAAATGTTCTAGAATTAGATAATGGTGATGGTTACACAACTCTGTGATGTTGTTCACACTTTAAAAGTGTGAATTTTATGATACGTGAATTATATCTCACTAAAATTGTAATCGAAAAGAAAAGAATCAAGCAGGAAAAGCAGGAAGGGAGGGAGAGAAAGCCTGGGCAACAGCACCCCCAAAGAATGCAAAAGAAATAGGAGACAAGAAAGCAGTTTTACTAAGATCTGCCTTTTAGGGCATAGAGAGCTCTATTTTATTTTTTGTAATAATAATAATAATAAAAAGATGACTAGCTGAGAAGAAAATTAGAGGACATGGACTATAAATACAGCCTAAGGCATTTAGTTTAGACACAAGATTTTCCTACTAATAAAAGTTGGAATAAGAGGTTTTCACATCTCTCTTTTTGGTAGACTTAAATAGTACTTAGAACAGGTTTTATCCATGCAGAACGATTTGTGGGAGCCATTTCTGAAATGAGAGGGATGAGTTAGATGGCCTTTCATGGTCTTTGCTCTTTTTTTCTCTGTCTTGGAAAACTGTTAAGTCTCAGGATTCAATATAATGCACTGCCTTCTCTTTAATCTTGGTGAAATAAGAGAAGAGACGTTTCTGTTTCTTGAAAAGTTGTAGTTGGTTTTTATATACAGTCTTAAACACATATTCCTCTCAAGATTTTAGAAGTCTCCTCCTCTAAACATTAACTGTTTATTTAAAACAAACAAACTTGAAGCTGCGCTTGCAACCTATTATTTCAATAATTTTTGGTAGATATATGTAAAGAAAGCAAAATCAGGTTACGTATCGCTAACTTAGAAGTTCCTGGGTAGTGCAAATGGTTAAGCTAACCATAAGGTTGGCGGTTCGAGTCCACCCAGAGATGCCTAGGAAGAAAGGCCCAGTGATCTACTTTTGGAAAATCAGTCACTGAAAACCCTATGGAGCACAGTGCTACTCTGACACACGAGGTCACCATGAGTAGGAATTGACATGACAACAATTTTTTTTTTATAGCTAACACTACACATATTATTAATTTGAATACATAGAATGTCCTTGGCCTGATAAATAGTTTGAAAAACTCTGTAGACCTTCAAATTTAGTGGAAAAAAAAAAAATTATCTTCACTGGTATTTATCAACGACAAAACCATCTCTTGTAAGCCCTGCCATTGTTTCCCATTGCTTCCTACTTTAGAAGAAGGCAAGTACCTTCTTTGGGTACATTTCAGCACAATCTTCCTCACTCTTTGCCCTGGGCCCGAATTCCCATGAAAATAAAACTGAGAGACAAGAGTAGAGCAATGAAGTCTCTTCTTGGCCTTGTCACCAGATTCAGACTGAACCTTTTTGAGTCTTCTAGTCTCTGGTCAGGTTGGACACTGCTTTGTTTTATGGCAAAGTCTATGTCAATATTGATGCTCTTCACAATCACACACAATCAACAGTATTCATTCATTGAGTAAAAGCAGAAATTCTCAACGGTTAATAATATAAACCTCCATTTCCAATATCCTCAAATGCTTTTAACCCAACCGCATGTTTACTAAATAATGGATTATGGTCCTAGGTCCAGATGCTGTGAAAATTTGATTTGTTGAGAACGTTGATTAAACGGAACTCCTTGCCAAGACATGAAGTCCTTCACCTCCATGGCAGGAGATCCTGCTCCCTCCCTGCTAAGCAAGGGCATGGTCAAACTGTCCTTTCTCCAGGCCTTCGAGTCCGTCAGCCCAGGTCGAGGTCGGCATGCTCCGATACGGGTCCAGAAGAATCCGGAAGCATCTGACGATGAGGATGCCCAAGAAAATAAACAACAAAATGACAAAAACAAATGTGGTTTTCTGCTCCAGAGACATGCTAAAATCTGATGACACGTTCCCAAGAGACACTAGAGGCGAAGGGACAGGCTGACCTCCATCCATCTTCTAGGGCAGCCAGAGCACAGAATCTTCCAGCTTCCTTTTCTTCCATCATCACTCCACTGGGATCATGGTGGCTGCACCTTGGAGAGGGTGAGCTACCTGAAGGAAGAAAGAAAGGGAAGGATAGGGGAAAAATTAACAAACAGCAACCTTATTTTCTAGGTCTAGTGTTAACTAGCTTTCCTCTCGCCAGAAAGCTTAATTCTGAATCATAGTTTACTCATGCATGAAATTACCAGATTGTCCTCAGAGTGGCCCCAGGGGCGCAAGAGGTGGGCAGGGAATGCAACCATACTACAGAAGGTGAGAAATGTGCACAGGAATGTTGACTAGACATCCACCACCCTGCCTGCTCTACCAAGTCTCTGTCTGCTCCCCTCCAACATTACTTTCACATCATCCTTATAATGGCTGACATTAATGAGCACTAGCCATGTGCCAGGACTGTGGCTAAACTTCCATGTGCTTCCATGTGTTAGCCACTTTACTACAAGCTCCATGAAGGCAGGGTCCTCTATACCTCTGGTGTGAGGTAACTGAGGTTGGAAAAGGGGCTTAATGTAGAAACTCTCTCAGGAAGCATCTGGTCCTGGTAAATGAGTGTGAGACCTTGGAGAGGTGACTAAGCCTTAAAAATGGACGTAGAAATGCCTGAGTATCTCTCAGTGTTACAATGAGGATAAATGTCTGTGGAAACCCTTTAAAAAGTATGTAAAGAAGAAAAACAAAGTGTTGCTTCACTTTAAACATAACTAAGGCAGCTTTGTTTCTCCTCTTTTGCTTTCTTCTGCCTGGGCCAAGGGAGAACGAAAGTGTCTCTCTCAAACTGTTGACCTACTGCTGCTTTTTCTTTTTTCTTCAGAAAACAAAAACCAGGTTCAATAACTGACCCTGGGAAGCACCTAGAGAACTGAACTATGGAAAAAGAATTGATGACAGCAATTTTTTGAAAAGGATAGTTTTCTTTACAGCAGCTTCCTACTGTTTAAGGCCATTTGACAGAGAGGAAGAGATAGGCAAGTTATCACTATTTCCATTTTAGTGGTAGGAAAATTGAGATATAGGAAGATTATTGTCTGACTTTAAAGGCAAATTGAAATATATACAAAGACCACTAAAAGTTTCAGATACTAACCTAAATCTATTTATACCAAATTGTGTAAGGAAAATTATCTATATTAGACATTACTATATGGGAATTTCATAACTTACATTTATCATGAATCTGTCTGTAAGACAAATTCCATAGCAGAATAGTCAGCCATGGAAATTAACATAGATCCAAAAGAAATTATGCTCAACAAAAATAAGAAACCAAACAAAAATAGAAATTATGACCTAGAACATTAACACAATGTTTCTTCAGTTGACTTATAATCATTGCCTTCATGCACAGGGTTAGTAATCATAACAGTTTGCATGTATGCTGACACTTCCAAGTTTATAGCAACACTACATGAAAAACAGTTGATAAAGGGAATCACACCCAAAATCTGGGAGGGAGGAGTTATCAATTTGGGGGGAAGGATCCTTTTTGCAGCTATGTGGCTGTGAACTTTCAGTTGCAATAGTTTCATTTGTGATTCATGCTTGTTTTGAATAAGATTGGGATAAAAGTTGACTCTAAAAAAATAAGCTTCTTCGGAATGTCAAGGATGTTAATGAATTGAGCTTGGTTTTTGTTTGCTTGTTTTTAATTACTTTCTGAACCTTAGCTGTTGACTCCCACTGGGGTATAGCTGGGGTGGGATGGGGTGGGGAGATAGCAGGAAAAGGGTGGCGGGTGCCTCCAATGCAGCTGTCCTTAGCTCTTCAGACTATAGTCATTTGTGTCCACCAAAAACACCCAAACTGGACTGAGAGAGGATTGTCCCCTTAATCGTACTAAATATAAAATTCTCTAAGCGCCAGGTCAAAACAAAGCCGTCTGATGACAGAGGGATGGACGGCTACGCAATCCCTGATCTGTCCCCTTTGTCTTTTCATGCCTTACTGAGGATTCCCTCACTTTGATCCCTACTCTCCCTGCTGGCTTAACTCACTTCAGAATCCCATTCTATGTCCCTTTGAGGCCAGAGCCTTTTTACCTTTGTCTATTCTCAACACAGCTGAGGCAGGTAGGCATTTTTAGAAAGTTCTTTATGAAAACACTACATAATCCAAAAGGAAATATAGGAAAAGCAAGACCATAAACTGTGTAAGTTTACAACATAAGCATTTCTGGATCTGAGAAGTTCAACAAAAACAGCAAATAACAGTATAGAACCTTCTGGGCCTGTGTTAATGAGCCTCTAGCCACAAGCTGACTGACTAGTAGAACAATGCCTTACTCATTCCCTTCCTCCCACCACTGGTTTCTACTTGATGAGAGTCAGCTTGGTACCCACGAGACATCACCCCTCAGCATTCTCCTCCAAACAAGGCACAGTGCCAAGTCCATTTCTCCAAGCTCGGCATCCCACACTTCCTCGGCCTCTCCCATGTCACTCAGGTTTTAGAGCTGCCTCACCATTCATTCATTTGGGGGCTACAGTGATGGGCAGCCATTCCCAGAAACCCCAGCAAATAACCTAGTTGTCTGATTCAGATTATCAGCCACATCTCCTTCTTCAATCTCTCTATAAATCACTCTGGATGTCCGGCTACTCCACAGGGAAGCCAACCATTAGAATGATTTAAAAATCAGCTTCAATTTGCAGTTTTACCAGCCTATGATGACTAAAAGGCAAGGTGCAAGGATATAGTTACCCTCTCTGCTGCCAGATAATGTGTTTTGAGAAGTCTACTAAAATATAAAAACATATTCTCCATAATCATCACCAGCCTCTTCCAGATATACCAAAGTGATGAGAAAATAGAGATGAAAGCATTTGAAAACTGCACAGTGCTTGATGAATTGTAAACCGCTTCCCTTCCAGCATACTGTGGTGCCAAGTTCCTATTAAAATAACTTCTTTTGGTCAAATCATCAAGGGCTCCTATTAAATGTCAATATTTTACCAAGGAAAGTGACACATTAACATATTACCAGAGAATTGGCTATGAGAACTATCCCCATCTGAGGGAGGGGGAAATGAAAGAAAGGAAGGAGGTTGAAGAAAGATCTTGCTGGAAGGGAGGGGCTGTTGGAGAGGACAGAAAAGCAGGCATGAGGGACCATGGGAAGGGGCCCCAGTAGGAAAGTCCTGGGGGAGAGGAAGGGAATGGAGGGTAGAGATAAGAAGATCAGGAGATGGTTATATAGGTGTACAGAGATCCAGAAAAAAATGCCACCTATTTCCCAGTTGCCTAGGACTGGGTAAACTCTCTGGAAAAGTCTGCTTGATTGTACAGTTGTAATCAGCTAATCAATAATTTACAGATTTGGAAAGCTCAATGGCATGTTTAATTGAAAAGAAGCATCAGATATAAGAAGAGAAAGAAAAAGAAATAAATTTAATCACTTGGCTACCAGAATACAAAACACACACACACAGAGACAACTAAATTTTAAAAATATATATTTTGTCGAGTAAAATATTCCTCTTAGGTAAATATGATTCTTAGAAAATGTTTGTGATCGCTTTCAGCTAAGTAATGAAATCTTTCTTTTAGATGAATTGTGAAATCTGGACAAGCAAATTATTACAAAAGATTTTGACACACCCATCGTAAGTGTTAAGAATAACAAACAGCAGTTACTTCAAGTATAAAGACCGGGCACAGTTACTCACAGCAGTATTTTCATCCTGACGGACTTCCTCCAGCCCCAGCACATCTATGTCTTCCCTTTGCCAAGTCCATTTGTGTGGGCTCAGAAAATAAAGTCTAATTTTAATACTGGACCAAGGAAACCTTAATTAAAAGGTGCTATTTCCCAAAATCATATAATACATTGCTATTCTCAGGTCAAGCTTCCTGGACTCTTTGATCTTCACAAAGGGTAAAACACCCTGAATTACTCACCCAGCCCGGTGTGAGCAGTCCATCTTAGCCATCGTCTTTGTCACTATTACCCACTGGCTTCAGTTACCATAATTTGCAAAGTGGGCTTCTCTTCCTTTTCCAATACTTCTTTTATTCTACGTCTAGATTCATCTTTCTAAGCTCAGATCATACCACTCCTCCCTTCAGAAAACCTTTGTACCCTGGCATCCAAGGCCCTAATCCTCCCATTAACTCTCTTACGGTACCAGTGCCCCTGTTCTCTGGACCACAAATTAGGACATATTCGAACAATGACATTTTTCCAATGTATTAATTTATTTTCATAAGTTTCAAAAGGAATAAACATCCAATCACATTTGGTATAGAGTAAAATCACCAATATACTGATAAGAATGAACTTACATGTAATTGAATCTGTGGATACCTGAGTAGGATGTTGTCATTTTGTCTACTCTTCAGCTCCACTTAACACCTGCCGGTCTTAGAACACCTCCAGGTATCCCACCTCTGAGCGCTTATTCATGATGCTCTCTGCCTGGTGGAGCTCCTCCTCTCCCTATTCCCACTGTGGGATTTCTCCCCTTCCTTCAGGATCCACAATCAATACCACCTCCTTGGTGAGGCCTCACATCTCTCCCTCCATCAGCGGGGGGGTTGCTTCCCACTTTGTCTCCGGAGCACTTCACTTGTACTCTGTGGCAGTGCTTATTACAAGACAGGTCTCCACGGTGTTTGTCTCCTTTCCCTGATTAAACAACAAGCCCCTTGAAGAACTCCTCGCTGTGTCAAGATCACTGCCTCTTTACATATACAGTGAATCAAATCTCTGACCCTTATAGTCCAGAGACCTGGATTTCAACACCAAGCTGCCAGTTACCCCACTAACTGATATAGATGGGAAGAAGGAAAACACATTTCATCCAGCCAAACTGGGATGTCTCCTCATTGTGTTTGAAACAGCCCTTGTTTCCAACAATCATAGACAATCTTAGTCACAACGACACTTAATAGTTACAGATCTCTATTTGAAAAGTAGTAGTAAGTTTTTTGGCTCTTTAAATATTTCTTGGCTC